ATCTCTTACATCCTGCCATTATCAACCCTTTCAAAGAGTTGATTCCCCTCCCCTCTGTAGGCTCCCTTTAGGTTGCAATGAGGTCACCCCACAGCCTTCTCTTCCCCAGACTGAACAAGCCCAGCTCCTTCAGCCTGTCTTCATAGGGGAGGTGCTCCGGCCCCCTGACCATCTTTGTGGCCCTCCTCTGGATCCTCTCCAACAGTTCCCTGTCTTTCTTGTATTGGGGGCTCCAGACCTGGACGCAGTACTCCAGATGGGGCCTCACAAGAGCAGAGTAGAGGGGGACAATCACCTCCCTGTCCCTGCTGGCCAGCCCTCTTTTGATGGAGCCCAGATACCATTTTCTTTCTGTGCTGCAAGGGCACACTGCTGGCTCATGTTCAGTTTTTCATCTATAAAGACCCCCAGGTCCTCCACAGGGCTGCTCTCTCTGGTGCCTTGATAGGAATCAAGGTTAGTTTGGGCCACATGTTCAGCATCACTTTCTAATGGTACAGACAGTCATGCAGTGGGGCCAACTGCCTGTGGAAGCACTGGCTTGTCCATTGCTGGAAATTTGTAGTTCAACAAGTCAAATGAGTGCACGGGGAGCAGTGTTTCCTGTCACAGGGCAGTGGGACAGACCATTAGGAAACAAAGACCATAGAAGTCCAGACTATATATCTCTATGAAATACTCATGTTGTCCAGAAAACCACTATCTAAGGTTGCTACTGGATATTAGGAGAAACTTATTCTCCAAAAGAGTGATGAGACAGTGGCACAGGCTGCCCAGGGAGGTGGTGCAGTCACTGTCCCTGGCAGTGTTCAAGTGATGTGGAGACTTGGCACTGAGGGACATCGTTAGTGGTCAACATTGGTGGTATTGCCACCAGTGATCTTAGAGGTGTTTTCCAAGCTTGATGATTTTATGATTCTGTTTTTCTGTGCTGTATGGGAATCACAGATGTCTGTGAGACACAGATTACATGAGTTCAGATATTGATAATTTTTTCCCAAGAAAGAACTGCTGGAGACATTTATTTTAAAGTAGTAGAAGGCTGAAATTCTGCAAAACAAATTAGGAGCTTGAAAAAGACTAACGCATAGTGCAGTTACGAGGCACTCATGGGAAACAAAAGCAGGCTGTATGTTGACATTTCTATGCTCATTTTTTTAATGTTTTTGAGCAGCAATCATGTTTGCCAAACTTGCAAAGCACCCTTCCTTGCACACAATTCGTTAGCGGAAACAAAGGTAAGTGTGTTGTGAGCTGGTAGTCTCCTGGCCACCCTTTTAGAGACTTCACATCTCCAGCACTGGAATTGGAGACCTTCCACTACTCCGTTTTGGTAAGCGTTTTCTGACTGGGGAAATTTGAAGTTGACATGCCAGAAATGTGTCCCCTGGGTCTCTTCTAAGGAATGGTGGCAGAGTGGGGAGTCCAACATGCACCTGAGTGATTGCTGCCTGCTGACATTTATTCAGAATTCTACTGCCTGGAAAAGCGGTTAGATGTGTCACAAGAAAGAGCTGCTAGGCTCTTACTGAGCTTTTGGCCATGTCAGCAATAACAGAAATCCTGTCGTGTTGTCTATAACCTTATCAATCAACCTGTCAAGGCAGCTGTGCTGTACTTATCACCCTGCTATCAGAGTGCTTCAGCTGAGAAAATAATTTTAGTGTTGTCACCAGGAGGGCCTCGGAGTGCAGGATAGATGAAGGAGGAGACAGCATGCTTTATTACAGCAGCAGACTGAGCTGACGAAAATAAATGTGGACCAACCATCCCTTCCCCAGAGCTGAAATGGGGCTGGTGGCTCTCCATTTTTTCTCTTGCTAACATCACGTCCTCTCTACATTTCATCAGACGTGAATTAAAATAGTCAGGCCAAACCCAGAACTGTTGTACTGAACCTGTAGAAGTTTCTTAGCTGGGCCAGTTCTAAAGAAAGGTCTGTCTTCCTCCAGGCATGTTTTCTCCAACAATGCCCTTCAACCTCTCCCTTCATTTGCCTCAGTGGGGAAAGCCACAGGAGCATAGAGAGGAGAAGGAAACTGAATTCACTATATATTTCATAGAATCATAGAATGGTATGGGTTGGAAAGGTCCTCAAAGATCATTTAGTTCCAACCCTCTGCTGTGGGCAGGGCTGCCACCCACCAGCCAAAACTGCCCATGGTTCCATCCAGCCTGGCCTTGTGCACCTCCAAAGATGGGGCACCTGCAGCTCTCTGGGCAGCTGTGCCAGTGCCTCATCACCCTTTGAGTCAAAAATTGCTTCCTAATATCTAGCCTAAATTTCTCCATTTTTTTTAGTTTAAAACCATTCCCTCTTCTCCTGTCACTACTAGACCACGTAAAGTCAACCTCCCTCCTGTTTATGAGCTCCCTTCATGTGCTGGAAGACCACAGTAAGGTCTCCCCTGACCCTTTTCTTCTCCAAGCTAAACAAAACCAACTCCTTTAGCCTTTCTCCATAGAAGTGCTTCAGTTCTCTGACCATCTTAGTGGCCCTTCTCTGGACCCGCTCCAACAGCTCCACATCCTTCTGTACTGGGGGCCCCAGGCCTGGACACAGAACTCCAGATGGAGTCTCAGGAGGGCAGAGTAGTGGGGGACAGTCACCTCCCTCTCCCTGCTGTCACCCCTCTTATGATGCAGCCCAGGATTCTGTTGGCTTAGAAGTATCAGGCCATGCTAAAGGTCTGTAGGGCACCACACCGTTAAGAGATCAGCAGGGGTTTTCACTTCATTGCAGCTGGATTCATGCATGCCAGCCTGGCCAGGAGATGATCTCCTTTTGATTGGTTTTGCACCGTTGCCAGAAGCACCACCCTTAACTTTCAGGGCTGCAGGTGGCACAAGGGAGGGCTGCCCTCGGGACTGTGTTAACAGCCACCAGTCAGTGAGCAGCGTCCAGACCACAGTGCCTGGGGAGCCACAGCATGCCACAGACATCTCTGCAGGGTGTTGTTCCCTGTGTAAATGTGTGTGAAGAGTCATCCACGTTTGTGAAGGATGTGTGTGTATCTGACAGCAGATCCTTTATCCTTATGGGTCCCTTCCAGTCAGGGATATTGTATGATTCTATGATCCTATCCACTGCAGTGGGTAATGCGTGTCTCACTGGGTCCCATTATTTGAAGTTCATTAACCTGTTCATTAACACTTCAGGACAGTACAGTTTTTCTTTGTCTGTTTCTTTCTCCAGTTTAAACATCTGCTTCCCAAATGTACCTTCCTCATCCTGCACTGGGAACTGGCTCAAAACTAGATAGAAGATTTAATAGATCAGGATTCTGATTTCAGAAAGATTTGAATACCAGCATGAAGGCTTGGGCTGTCTCTAATCAAACACAGTTTAGAGAAGAGACAGCCAAATTCTGATGGTGCCTGAATCTGGGAGAGGACAGATGGCTCTTGTGATTCTAGGAAACCATGGAAGATGAGCTCTCTGCCCTCTTCTCCATGGACTTTGTAACCTCAGGAGGATGTTGTGCCTCAGTTTCTCCATATTTATATCCATTAACTCCTTGCCTAGATGCTGCAAGACTTCCTTCATCATTGGAGGCAAAGATTTTGGAGCAGAAGGTGCTCGGGCATGCATCAGAGTGCCCTGGTAATACAGGCACAGGGAGCACTCTGCATGGCTCTGGGTACACCACTATAGCACATGGGAGGTGCTCCTACCTCCACCTCCATGCTGCTGCAGCCGGTACGCCAACATTCAGTGCAATTCTTTATGGACTGCCAAAGAAACAAATTACTGCACACTACAAAATGAAACTGGCATTTTAAATCTAAAACACATGACATCAGCATTACATGTGGAACCAGATACCATCACATCACATGCCACCTCGTAAATATTCGGGCTGGTGGGGCAAAAAGAAATGAGAGGTGGATTGCTGGCCAAGAACGCTCCCCGAGGTCTGCTGCTTTGTAAAAGTCTGCTAAGCACCACAAGCACGAAGCCCACTTCCAATGACCCACAAGGAGCTGAATCCACAGTGCTGGCAGCTTTGCTGGGAGGCTGTAAGAGGGGATCTGCTGCATGAGATCAGCGGTGTGGGTGTGCGTGTGTCCGGCACAAGGGCCGCATGAAGTGACAGGAAGCCAATGGTAGGAAGAGGAGTAAATAGTGAGCAATTCATTGGGCGTGAAATCCTGGAGGAGTGTTAATGCTCCCTGTTGCTATCTCTCTCACAGAGCATTCTTCAGAGAAGCGAGGGGATGCTTAGAATGTCCCCAAAAGCAGCACCCCTGGCACCTGCTGAGGAGGAAGGGGCTTCACAGTCACCTTGCCAAGAGCTTTGAATCCTGTGCACAAGTGGGATGCTGTGGTTTGGTTTAATGGAATCAGCCCCCATTGCAAAACCATACACCCCAAGGAAAACTAACCTGAGTAAACTATGTGTTGGATTAAAAAAAAGTTCATTGATTTTTCTTTTTTTTTGTGGCACTGGAAAAATTTTCATTTTCAGAGAAAGAACTCATCCAGACTCCAAAATAGCCTGGTACATTAGAAATGCAATTTTCCCATTATCTTTCTGCACAACCCCTGTGAGAAATTCTATTTAAATCACATTTACATAATTCTAAGAATAGACCATTCTGCTCTTAATATCCATCCATCCACCTATCCTTAATTTATTATGGGTTCACCAAATATTTGCCCTTTCTTTCTGAGAGTAATAGGATATAAGTTCAGACAAGTCTTACTTCATTACTTGATGTTAAGCTTATGAAAAATTTGGAAGCATTCTTATTATGAGGCACTTAAAAACTGCTCCTATGGGCAAGGAAAGGGACATCCAGTACTTCTTTAACAATCCATACACTAAAAGCAATATGCTGCAATAATAACTTGTTCCCTGATTATTATGATAGAATCACAGCATGGTTTGGGTTGGAGGGTACATTAAAGCCCACCCAGTTCCAGCCCCCTGTGTCGTAGGCAGAGCTGCCACCCACCAGATCAGACTGCCCAGGGTCCCATCCAACCTGGCCTTGGACACCTCCAGGGATGGGGCACCCACAGCTTCTCTGGGCAGACTGTACCAATGAACACCCTTTATGCTTCACCCTTCTGAAGGACTGCTCCCCAAACTCAGTGAAGTCAAATGGAAGTGATCCCTGTTGGTGCTCCAAGCCATGGAACACAGATGGGTGATGCCCTGTGTCTGTCCATGGGGAGAGGGCACAAAGCTGGTGTGCAGTGTGGGACCTCATGGTGAACAGCTGGCAGGACTGTGTCACAGTCATTCCCATAGAAGCACTGGCTCCTAGGAGGAAGGCAGGAAATCCTGGAGGGAACTTTTGAAGGATCAGAGCTACACACTGTCTGCAGCTCAGCATCCTCACACCATGCAGACAGTGTGTTTCTGACAGCTTGAACTTTGCATGGAGAACAGTGCTGGGCAAAAACATGGTTTGAGCTAAAATTTAATGTCAGGAAAAATGTTTGATGTCACCTTGAACAATCTTGCTGACATTTTGCAGACATTTTGCTGCCTCTGTGTGTGGCAACAGGACAGGAAGCAGTGTTACCTGACTCAGACAGGAGACCCCTGTGCAAAGTGAGGCTTTGCTTGTGTAGGGCCTTAAAGCCCACTTGCTATCTGCTGGGACAGTGGAGGGGTCTCTCCTCTCATGGAAGGGTGGCTGTGGTGGCCTCGGGTCAGCTGGGCCTGATTGGGCCATGGGAGCAGCACGTTTGAACCTTCAGCACAGCTGCAGCCAGGAGAAGGGCAGTTTTCATTTTGCTTCTTATGAACAGCAGATTTCCAGCAGCAATATCTGGGGGGATATCTGCAGAAGGTGACCTGCAGAGGATCACACACTGGCAGGCAGGGAACAAGACCCTGTTATTCATAACTTTTATGGTATTGAAAGGCAGTTTGGGGCTGTTTGGACAGCTGGGGCTGGGGGACAGGAGTGGGGCAGCCCTGGGGCTCACACACCTGGACGTGCTCGAGGAGACCCATTCCCCATTACCACAGCCATTTCTCTCTCCCTTCCTATATAAAATACTTTCATACAGGCATAAACAGAAGCACACAGGTACTTTTTTGTACAGAATTCATTTTCATTTACGTTTTCTCTTTCAGTTTGCATTTAGTTGGCTTGCAAGTGGTGGACAGGACTCTTCCCACTTCCTGATGCCTTTATTTCTTATAAGAATGTTCTTTCCTCTAATGCAAACAGCCTCCAAAGAGAGTGACTGCTAAGACAAAGAGACAATAGATGGCTGCCAAGAGATAGAGGGCTGTGTGAATGCAAAATTTTGTTTTTACAAAAAATAACAGGGACTTTTCCTTCTGTCATGTTTTCATTTATACTGAGCCACAGCTTTATTTGTAAGAAGGGACAGCAAGTAATTTTCAGGCAGAGATGCAGTAATTTTGAAATTGAATGTGTCCTTGCAATTACTCGGTTGTATTTCTAATGAATACATTCAGTATAAACCAAGAGAACAGAGGTGGTTCACTTACTTATGAATATACCTTCATGGTGTTCCCACAGATCTCTAGCTTTTATCTTTTCCCCTGCAGAGTGAAAGACAGAGGCAGTCTTCCCTTCTTTGCTGGTAGAACAAACAGAAAATGCTTATCTATTTAAAGAAAACTGGAACAAAATAAATATATAGCAAAACTTTCATCACCTTTAATAACCACAGAGAGGATTATGGAGGTTAATAAAGTCATACTTGTGGAGTACCTGTGTGTCCTTATCTCCATTTTTGGTCAGTTAACCATGCAAATACTGATTAATTCAAGTGGGAAGAGCATGGCCTATTCTAATTGCAGATGATTAGAAGAAGCAGCAGGAGAAATGCAGGAAGGAGGAAGATACATGCTGTGCCACAAGAGTTTGGTTTATCCTACTGCTTTATTACTTGCCAGCATTTATTTCCTAAGCCACACCTGTAAGTAAACCTGCTTTTGCTGTTGTCCAGAGCAATGCTTTCCCTTTCCCATGGGTGTTGGGATGCTGCTCACTGCAGATGGGTGTATGATTCTGGTGGCTTTCTAGCTCATTGCCCATTTGCTCAGATACAGAATGGACACACCTCAGTTAGGGGCTGCACCACGTTCACTCTGCTGTAACCAAACACTGAGCACAGCTCAGCCCATCTCTGCCTGGAGGAAGTGGGTGTTTTTTGAGAGGAGCCATGCTCCAGGAGGCCATGGATCTGCAGGGGCAGCGTAGGGCAAAGCCACCCACAGTATCTATGCTGGAGCACGCAGCTTGGTGGACAATGGAAAAACCTACATGAGCATGGATGATTCCCGTGGGCATCACAGCGCTGATAAGACTGTCAGCAGCTCAAGCCAGGACTGGTTGTGGTCTGCTTCTGACCAGGAGCTAACCCTGCCCATAGCTAGACAAGGAGTGAGTGAGGTACAAGGAGCACAGAATCATAAAGTCATAGAATCACAGAATGGCTTGGATTGGAAGGAACTTCAAAGATCATCTAGTTCAAACCCCCTGCCATGGACATGGTTGCCACCTTCCAGATCCTAACATCTAACCTAAATCTCTCCTCTTAGGTTAAAGACATTCCCCCTTGTCTTTATCACTATATCACTATTAGATTATGTAAGAAGTCAATCTATTTCCTGTTTATATGCTCTCTTCAGGTACTGGAATGCCAACACTGAGGTTTCCCCAAAAACTTCTGTTCTTCAAGCTGAACAAACCCAACTTCCTCAACCTTTATTCACAGGAGAGGTGCCCCAGCCCTCTGATCATCTTCCTGTCTCTCCTCTGGACTCGCTTCAAGAGTTCCACATCCTTGTGCGCAGAGCCCCAGATCTGCTTGAGATGGGGCCTCACGAGGGAAATAGAGAGGGACAATCTCCTCCCTCTCCCTGCTGCCACTCCTCTCTTGATGCAGCCCAAGATGGTGTTGGCCTTCCAGGATGGAAAGTATTCCTACTTGCAGCAGTGGCAGCAAAGCTTGCATGGCATTTAGGAAACATCTCTTGGCATTGCTGATGGTGCTCAGTGAGTATACAACTACTGGTTGGTGCCTGCACACTGTCACTGGGAAGCTAGTAATCCATTATCCTGAGTATAAACATCATTACAACATAAAGAGACACCATGAATCTACCCCTCCATACAAACATATGAATGTGCACAGAATGTCTGCTCAGTGAGACTGTTTCTTTCTAATGGCTTCTGAAATGGTCTTTGTGAAAATCTATGTTTCATGCTATAGCTGAGAATTGTGATGATGTGCCCATTCCTTGTCCTGGCCTAGGTGCTTCTCTGAGAATGAGCTGGTTTGAGGCTGTCATGGTTTGTGGGTCCGTGGGTCCCTCCACCCCACTAGTCATGGAACCAGGCCAGACTGGCCCTAAACTGTTGGCAGAAGCAGAAATGACAGGAGGCAGCTCTTTGTGTATCTGGGGGAATTCACTTTCTGCTGGCATGCCTCCCCATACCACCTCAGCGTGTTGTCCTCAGGGTCCAGGGAAGTTCACAGAAAGCAAAGAAGGGACGTGGCCAGAGAGAGTCCCATTTCCAGGGCAGCCTCTTGTTGTAGGGAGAGGGAGAGGGCAATGAGAAGGAGTAGAGGAGCTCAGCTACTGACAGCAGCAAAGTGTTGTATTTAAGCATATAGTTAGCTTGAATCATAGAATCATTAAGGTTGGAAAAGACCACTAAGGCCATCCAGCCCAATCCATGCCTGTAACCACTCTAGACTACGTCCCTCAGTGCCACATCTCCATGTTTCTTGGGCACCTCCAGGAAGAGTGACTCCACCACCTCCCTGGGCAGCCTGTTCCAATGCTTCACCACTCCTTCTGAGAAGAAATTGTTCCCAATACACAACCTGAACTTCCTCTGGAAAAACTTCAGGCAATTCCCTCTCACCCTACTGCTGTTACCTGGGAGAACAGGCTGACCCCCACCTCGCCAAAATCTCCTTTCAGGCAGTTGAGAGCAATAAGGTCTTCCCTGAGCTTCCTCTTATCCTGACTGGGCAATCCCCATTCCCTCAGGTGCTCCCCATAATACTGGTGCTCCAGATGCTTCATCACTTTGCTAACAGTGCCTGGTGGCTGTGGTGGAAATACCATCTACCTCTTCTGAAGTAGAATTTACTTCAATACTTGCAGTATTTCTGCTAGTGATGACATCACATATATACATAGTATGAAAAATGTGTTTTTTTCTTCTAAGTAGCTCCATTGCACATTGATCCTGCATGATGAATTAATGCCAGTGGGGCAAGTCTATAAGTTCACTTAGAATTTCCTTATTTCTTTACACTGCTACTAGGTTCTCAGTAAAAAAAACACTAGGCCTCCAGAAGCATGTCTGACCTTGAACTGTCACTACTCCAAGGGACCCACCTAATCCTACAGAAAATTTAAATTGTTAACATATCCTTTAAGATTTGCTTTTCACACAAGCTCTTCTTGTAGTGGACCACAGAATCAAAGAATCATAGACTCCTTAGAGTTGGAAGGGACTTTTAAAGATCATCTAGTCCAACACCCCTGCAACGAACAGGGACATGTACAGCTTGATCAGGTTTCCCAGGGCTGATCCAGCCTCACCTTGAAGGTCTCCAGGGATGGGGAATCCAACACAACTCTGGCAATCTGTTCCAGTGCCTCACCACTCTCAGTGTAAAAGACTTTTTCCTTATAACCAACCTAAATCTACCCTCTTTAAGCTTGAAACCATTTCCCCTTGTTCTATCACCACAGACCCTGCTAAAGAATCTATCCTCCCTTTCCTGTACCTCCCCTTTAGATATTGCAAAGTTGGTCTCAGGTCACTTTGCAGTCTTCTCCTCTCCAGGCTGAACAGCCCCAGCTCTCTCAGCCTCTCCTCACAGGGGATGTGTTCCATCCCTTGGATCATTTTTGTGGCCCTCCTCTGGATGCACTCCAACGGGTTCGCGTCTCTCCTGTTCTGAGGACTCCACATCTGGATGCAGTACTGCAGGTGAGGCCTCAGCAGTGCAGAGCAGAGGGGCAGGATCACCTCCCTTGCTCTGTTGGCCATGCTGCTTTGGATGTAGCCTAGGATATGGTTTGCATCCTGGGCTGTGAGGGCACATTGCTGCTCATGTCCAGGTTGCCACCTCAGAGAGCACTGACAGAGAATACACATAACACTGCGTGACCCCTCATCTGGCCATTCCTGCCTGGAGAATGGCATTTTTACCTTGTTGTAAGATAATAAAATTAAGGTCACCTTAGTTTAAGGCCTTGATCTTGAGATGGTTTGTGCCTTTTAACCAGCTCCAGGAAGCTACTTCTCTGGATATTAATACCCTGGATATTAACATAGTAATAGTCAAAATTCTTCTAAATTACAGAATGCTTATGAGCTGGTTTTGCATGTTTTCTTTTAATAAAAAGGATTTTTTAAGTGTAAAGTATTGGTCTAGCGGTGCTTTGCCCCTGACCCCAATGAGGAAAATGGAGTAACAGGGATTTGGCCACTTCAACAGGCGTTTGCCAGGTATAAAGGTTTCTCCAACTCAGAAGTTGTTTATTCTTTCTTCATTAAGTAAAGAGGCAGCTTGTCATCTCCCTGCCTTAGTGCACCAGGCACCATCACATCTTTCTTGGTAGAACTGATCATTTCAGATTAGGGTAGGTACAAGACAGCCCTCTTGCAGTGTGTGATTCTCTCCAAAAAATCTAATCCATTACATGAATGATGAGCAACTTGAGCAGTGGCATCATGCCTAGAAAGAGTACAATTCAAAATTTCTGTTGTTCCTCAGAAATCCTAATTGAATTACAAATACAATAGTCTGCTTCTCGTCTTGGTTTAACTTCAACACTGACCTTCACTGAAGAACAGGAGACCAGATGTACTAAGTGTGAATATAGAGTGCACTGTTCCAAGAAGAGCCAAGAGTTTGAAATCCTGTAATTTCCTCAATGTTGCAGAAAATTATGAGCCAATATCCTTTGTTAAAGACCAATTAATCAGTAAGAAAAATTAATCAAAAGCATTTTAAGCTTGCATGCTAATTTTCAAATCCCAAATGGATTGTGCTATTCCAAAATCAGTATGTTGCTTAGCTGCAAAGCTGCCTGAACATACTCAGGGAATGGTATGTGCTTTTTGAAGCCATTTGCTTTGGGTGTTTTAAAACTTTAAGATGAGGTTCTCAATAATTTTGGTAGACAAGAAGCAGCCACATTTCAAATTGTGATCATCTGTCTGAAGCTGAAAGCACAACAAGCATCCCAGGCAATAACAATTTCCCAAACTCATCAGTACTTTTTTTCCCAGAAAAGCCTTCTAAGGAGGAGCAGCACTTGTCACTGAGGGACAATTCTTACCTCTAGAAATGAGTCCAAATTATCATTATTTAGCCTTGATTTAATAAAAGTGATTGGAATATTGGCAGTGGGATACTGTACCTTGTCAGCCCAATCAGCATGAGGCCAGTGCTAGCTGAATGAGTAACAGCCCATGACAGATTGGTTTCTCTCCTATCAGCTTCCAAAGTTCTGTCTACTAACTACTTCTGGAAATTACATTCCATCAAATTTCTGTTCATCTCATGTCTCATCCTGGGCTACAAGACTCTTCCTCAGTTTCTGTGCCTTGTCTTTTACTTCATTTGACTATACTGAGTTCCATGAAGAAACAGTTCAAGATTGCAAAGTTGACCCTCCAAATACTCAGTTATTGCTGGAATATTACTAAGTACTAATGAAGCACAGAATATCCCAAGTTGGAAGGGACCTACAAGGATCGTCGAGCCCAACACCTGGTGTCACACAGAATCACTCAAAACCAGGGCTTGGGACTGTGATCCCATGGGCATAAGTTAGACTATCAATTTCTAGGATTATTTAAAAAAAACTGCCCATAATCTTCAAATTAGCACTACCAAAGTGTCAGTGTATCTAACCTACACTTTATACATTTGCAAATATGCAAAACAATCATTTCCATTTCAAACCAGATCACCTCCGCAACCCTCAGTAAGCATGAACCTGTCAAAAAGACTTTGGCCTTAAATACTTTGAAGGAGACTGGTATACCTGTTTAACTATCAGAGATATGGAGCCCTTTCCCATTCAACTGCATTTGATGACTGCTTTTAGGTATATGGCCCCCTACAAGTGCGGGTGCCCAGCATGCTGGGTGAAATGGGGAGGAGGGGGCAGAGCATGAGAGAGGATTGGGCTGGTGGAGGAAAGAGCAGTGTCTTTTTCTTGTCTAATTTTGAATCTCTGAAGAGCACAGGTTGTTTCAAGGTATCCAGAGGCTGCCTTAGGCTTGGGCTAGTGGAGGTTTCTTAGGTCTGCATGGCTGCAGGCATACCAATATAGATGTGGTTTTGTTATCTTCTTTTATTACACTGGCTTTGGCAGCGTTGTGATCTTTTCCCACCATGCTTGCAGTCTCTGTCTAGCTTGCTGACTGGCACACTGCAGATCAGCTGTATACTCAGAGCTGAGTAGTCTCCTCTGCTCAGGCAGTGGTTGCTTTACCCTCCAACAGAAGTTAATTACAGAATCATGGAAAAACATTTGGTTTGGAAGGGACCCTTAAGGGCCACCTAATCCAACTCCCCTGCCATGAGCAGGGACACCTACAGCTCCATCAGGTGCTCAGAGTCCTGTCCAGCCTGACCTTGAGTGTCTCCAGGGACAGGGCACCCATCACATCCCTGGGCAATCTGTGCCAGTGCCTCACCACTCTTACTGTAAAAAAACTTTTTCTTATATCCAACCTAAATCTCTCGTCTTATAGTCTGAAACCTTTCCCTTGTCCTAGGAAGCATCAGTGAGTAACCAGGGAGGATCTTTTTTTTAACCAAATGTCACAGGACATTTGGTTACTTGTATTCTTTTGGCTTCTACATAGGGCTGCTCAGCCCCCTTGGTCTGCACTTCCCTCTGAATCAACGGAGTATGTGCAAGCAGTCTAGCTATCAGAAAAGACAGATCACTGCAAAATTGATGAATATGAGCTGTGAGTCAGACCCACTGATTTGATTTAGCCTGCTTATCACAGTGGCTGCTACTTTGGGTCTGACTTCAGAGGTGACTCACATTGTACTAGTACTTCCAAAAAACCTGCTTTGAAAATATTTTGATAGGGCATCTCAAGTAATTTGCAGCATTTCTGTTAGAGCTGTATCCTGTAAGTGACAGCTAACCTTTGCAAACACACTTCAGAGAAGACAGAGAGGAAAAGGATAAATCTGATTAATTTTGCCAGAGCTGAGATACATTACACTGACTGGGACAAAAGCACTGCTCTACCTGACCTGCTCCACATCATGGTTCTCCTTGGGTGGACCTTTACTGTAGAAACACAGTCTCTCACAACACGAGCACTCTGACAGGTAACAAGCCCTTGATTAACATGAGTTACCTACATAATCAATCACAGGTCTCATATTAAATGACTGGGGAACTGATTCAGATCAGAAGCTGTGAAGGTTATCAGGGTTATGGGCACTGATCTGCAATGGAAATCACCCAATGCAGGTTGCTGGAAATCAGCTTGTTGTGTGGGATTGAACATAGCACTTCTCAAGTCAAACCTGTTTCCAAGTGAAGATAAACTGAAATCTCAAAATGGGATAGTGAAGATGATCTACAAGAGAATTTAGCTGCATCAATCACAGGATCAGAGAATCATAGAACAGTTTGGGTTGCTTGGGATCTGAAAGACCACCCAGCTACAGCCCCCTGCCATGTGCTGGCTGCCACCCACCAGCTCAGGCTGCCCAGGGCCCATCCAACCATCTCAGCTCAAGGACATTCTCAGCTCCCTGCGCAGCTGTGCCAATGCCTCACTGGCCTCTGAGGAAAAATTATGTCCCTGAAACAATGCTAGTTGGTGTGGCATCAGCATCAGCACCTGATGCCCTTGGCTTCCAGCAGTCATCATCATCATCTCATTTTTCAATCCTAAATGACATTTCACAGCTCCTTTAGCCTAATGAAACCACTGGAACCTGGGAATGGCTGATTACAGGTAGCACATCTGAGGAGAACTACACCGCTCACTGTGTTGTGCACTGTGGGGCATAGCTGGCTGGCAGCTTGCTTGCCCTATTTCAGGGCAAGGTCTTCCTTTTCTAGTGTTAGAATTTAATAAAGAAAAGCAGGAGAACAAAATATCTGGTGTGATAGTTGATAATCTGTTGGCCAGCCAGAGAACGATGAGGAGTTGAAAGTAGTTCAACAAATATATCTTACCACATGTGTCTGCATGGCTGGAAAACTGTATTTTCCATAGCCATTTCCCTCGAGTGCCCCCAGCCTTCCAACATCTTGGTTGTTTAGGAATCATAACACGTGAGTTGCTTGGGTAACTAAATTCTGCCTGACCACCTATATCCAGCTGCCTGGGAGACTCCACGTTCCAGAACATGGATCAGTCCTGGAAAGAAATCTTGGCCAGATACGGCATGGCTTCACTGTCACAGGTTCCAACAAGGTGCTCACAGCAAGCTGAGAGCTGTATGCACAGTCTGCTTGTGCCACTACGTATGGAAGGGGACTCGTGGTTTCTGGCCAAAGTGAGTCTATCAGACAGCAGAATTTCACATTTTACTCACCCAAGATATACTTCTGTTACACACATAGAGAGGAAAGAGCCACTCCCAACTCTGTCATTGCTATTCCAGACTGAGTGGAAGGGTTAGGGGATTTGTGCAAAAAGGGAACCTGGGACATGAGCTCTGGGTCAGATGGCCTTCATGAATCCTGCAATGTGCAAACACAGCCCAATTTAATGAGAGCTTCTCATTAACCACCTGTTTCTCCTTAAAACTAATGAACCATTTGATGTCATAAAAATCTTCTAAAAAATAACGGGGTTCCTCAGGCCCCTAATATTTCTTCCTAATTTGAAGCCAGATGCTCCACAAATTGTTCTCACTGTCATAACTGTCTGCTAGGTCTCCTGCAACACACACACAACTAATATTAGAAGCTAAAGTGAGCTTCTAATGCTTTAATTTTAATTTTGGTATCTTCTTTCTTGTTACTGAGAGATGAGATCAATATTCTTGAAAATATTTGGTAACCTTTGATGAGAATTACACAGGCCTCTGCTGCAGGCTTCAGGAACAGCGTCCTTGGAGACACCAGCGTCTGGGCCAGGTCCAGCCACAAGCTGTGTAGCACAGAATTAACTAGGGAGGGAAACAGGACTCAGCCTAAAAGGTTTCCTCCCCTTGGAAGACGCACAATTCCATTCCAGCTCAGGTGAACCCACAGACAAACCTTGCTATGCTGTTGCCCAGAACTGCCATTCATGTTTTTTTCAATGAGTGTGGGTTTTGCCCACCATCTTTGAGTGCTCTTCTGGGCTCAACCTCTATTGAAGGTCCTGATCTCCATGCTGTTGTCCAAGTACTTCCCTTCCCAAATCCTTTTTTTGATAAGGAAATGTTGGACTCATTTGAGAGACCAGGAACACAGATTCTGTATTGTTTGCAAAAGACTCTGAAAAATGTCCCATGAAATAGGGAACCAAGTGCAGGTAAATCCTAGAGTACAACCTAAATCTTTGGACCCTTTGCCCAGGGAAGCTGTGAGTGCCTCATAACTGGAGGCGCTCAAGGCCAGGTCAGATGAGGCCCTGGGCAGCCTGAGCTGGTGGGGAGCAGCCCTGCCCATGGCAGGGGGTTAGAACTGGATGAGCTTTAAGGTCTCTTCCAACACAAACCATTCCAGGATTCTACAATTCTTCTCTCAGCTTCTGATCAAAAATAAGACTTTTACAAAATCAGTGGGAAAATGCATTAACCATTGGGCTCACTGAAGTGACTGGGGACTTTATTTAAGATTTCATTGCAGCCACTGCCTTATGCAGCAAGATCAATAACAATCAGTACCTCTACATATAACTGATCTTACAGCATAGTTAGATGTATCACCTACAGTCAGTGCATATTTTTATTGATTTATGCTGTATTACTAAAGCACAGCTGGATTTGTGAAAAATAAATTCTTACTCAGTCCCTCTATAGGACAGTGCAATGCTTGGTGGCACTTGCATCACATTTGTGTAACCTAGTTAATCTTATAAGGTATGTCCCTGGTTACATCACACATCACGTTAAGAGTCTTGTATTACTGTTCTGCCTCAAAGCTGATGTTTCATTAGTAGTAGATTGAATGCTCAAATAAATTTGGCACCAAAATTTGGCAATTTTCCTCTGGCAAATGCAGAACATGAGACATCTTACAAATACAAAATCAAGTAGATGAATTTTATCCCAGGAACTTTTAAAAATCACTAACCTTTCCTATCCTGAGCTGCTAGGCTATAAGGTGCAATGACCAGAAAGCCCCTGGGAGCAGAGGGAGCTGCTGCTCTGGTTCTGGATTGAACTGCAGTGCTTTTCAGGACCACTTTCCCAGCTGCCCTGTCCTGAATGTTTTGAGCTGTGAATTCTGATTTGATGATTGTATGGAAGGTTTCAGCCTGAAGATACAGCACCAAAACTCCTTTGCTCTCCCTGATCCGCAGAACAGATGTCTTCTTGGTCCCTCTTAATCTGATTGCTTGTGTTTTGCTACAGCTTTTGCATTTATGCCTACAACCATTTTTAGAAGTGTGATGAATCATTTGTCTTTGCCTGGAAATGTACTTAAGTCTTCTGGAGATTTGTCTCAAGTCCATCTTCTCCATTCTAATCCAAAAATATACATATGCCTCTTTTCTGCTTCTCAGCTGGAAAGTTTTACTGAGTTCAGCACTGAGCTACGCTGAGAGCTGCTGTAACATGATGTTCTTTTGAAAATGATCATTTCCCCCACTTTCTCCAAAAAGACATGCAGAGATCAGGAAAAGCGTGATCTCCTTGCTCTGGGTGTTTGTGTAGTGGGACTTACCAGCAGTATGGACTGAGGGCCTTCTGTAGCAGGTACTATATGAGCATGGTGCAGATGGTGCTAATCCAGAGTGCTTACAATCTAATTGCTATGCCTGAGCGCTCATTAGCAAGTGGGCACTTTTCCCAGTCAGTGGTGTGGGGCTGTAGGCAAGTCTGACCAGCTGATCCTATCAAGCACGCCAGCACTTACCTGCTCTGCTTGAGCACCTTCCTAATAGTATGCAGATGAGCTGGAAGGATGCTCTCTCCTATAACTGCCCCTGGAAACATGCAAGCAGTGAGTAATAAACAAACCTGTGTTTACCTAAAAGATAAGCTCTATGCCCAACTGAGGATGAAAATAGGTTCCCAAGATTAACTTTCTATCCTTGTGTGGTTTCTTCCTGCTGTACAGGTTGCCCTGTTTGTCTCTTGTTATTCATAGTCACAATTTACTTTCTCTGAAAATATCTGCTAATAGCTAAATGGTGCTAATATATATCCACCAAGGGATGCTGTAAAGTTTTTAAATGGTGATTGGGTGTTTGGCAGGCAAGAGGCGCATTGCTCTGTCTTTCCATGATCTCACACATCACATAAGGGTGAACAAGGGATTTTCTAAACTGTGAAGTCCCAGTGCTGCTGTCATTTGGCAATGCTGGAAACTTACATTGAACAGCTCCTATTTTTATTGGAAATATTTCACTGCGGTAAAAGGGGGTTGAAAAACAAAATACCATCCATTTTCCCAGCCCCTGAGGTAGTATTCTGCCTGTCAGGGTTGAGTGGCTCTGGAGGATGCTATGGTTGGGGGAGTCTGCATTGCTGTTCTGGGTGTTGGAAATTCACTCCTAAATACAGGTTTTAGTTGGGATATGATTCATGCCTAGGCCTTATGTTTTCCCATTTTACTGAGCTGAGGTCCACCCAGAAAGGACAGAAACTGCCACACTTCAATGCCTTTATCCAGATAATTGAAGAAAAAAAAAAACAACACGTTAATAATATATAGAAATAAATATCCTCTCTGTGTTATATACAGCCCAGAAATGCCCCCCCACACAAATCATCATGTCCTTGCTGTAACCTGTGCTTCTGAGCACAAATAAAGCACTTAAGAACACACAGGGCTGACAAACAAGAAAACGTGATCTTTTCAGATGCTTTCTGGTTTTAGCTGCTTCCATGCAGAGTGAGTGATTTCCCTTCCTTCTAACCTGTCCTAAAATACGCTGGTGAGGAGTCAGGGTGTGCTGCACTTCAGTGGCTGCGACTGGAACAGCTTTATGTTGGTGCTGAGCGTATGTTTATGTTTATAATAATGAAACATGAGACTCATTCCCCAAATTAGCCCCACACATATAAAGCCAAGGGAATTACTCACTGCGCATAAGGTTAAACATGCCCACATCTGTGCAGAAAGGGGACCTGAGCTTGCAGCCCAGAGCAGAGCAGCTGAGGGGAGGCCTGATGGCGGCTGCAGCTCCTCACAGGGAGCGGAGGGCAGCGCTGAGCTCTGCTCTGTGTGACAGCGACAGGCCCGAGGGAACGGCATGGAGCTGCGGCAGGGGAGGGCAGCTGGGGGTGAGGGAAAGGCTCTGCACCACAGGGCGGTGGGCATGGAACAGCCTGCACAGGGCTGTGGGCACGGCCCCAGTGCTGGAGTTCAGGGAGCGTTTGGACAGTGCTCTGAGATACAGAGCCTCGTTATTGTCTTTCCCAACACCACTTTCAGAGAAATTTCTGATATGGTAATTAGTAGGCCTAATGTAGCTATGACAACATTGCTTTTGGAACCTTAGGCCTTTTTCTTGTTTTTTCCTGGTTTTTAGATATAGCACATTTTCTTTTTTCAGCTCTATACTAAGTAACGTCAAGCTGCAGTGAGAGAGAGTAATTCAAAAAATAACTTAAAACAGCCGAGGGTTATAAAAATAACTGATCCTGTGGGTAGCATCCAAAAGACTTTCCATCATGATGAGTGATTAGAAGGCTCGTTTAATTGTCTGTATGCAAATTGTGTGTCACTAATTCCACAGAAATCTTCAAGTTTTAAAATTAAGAGGTTCACATCAATTTGTTTGCCTTTTGGCTGATTTGGAGACTTCCACTCTGCAGGCTCTATTGTTTCAATGTAGATATTTTTTTTCCAAAAACTTGAGAAAAAGGGATATTTTTTGAATGATTTTTTTTTTTAAAAATGAGCTATGAATACCTTGTGCTCCCTGGATTTCAAGAACTGTGGTCTTAAAATATTTCAAGGATTGGGCACAAAGGCAAGAAGGAACTCCAAAAATCATATGTTTTCCAAATAAAGAGAATGCACAGATTTTAGTTTTAAACCCTCAATTTTTTAGGACTAGCACAACAGAGGTGTGAATCCATGAGCATCTCTGGGAAGAGGAAGCACTGCTCACACTTTCACCTCTGCAGGGTAATGTTCTGCATGTTCACAGTATCCTTCAAAATGTTTCATACTGCATCAAGGTGGCTTTCACAAGTCACCATTGGCCACTAGGTAGCTGTGTGCTGTGCTTGCCTGGCTGAGTCCTCAGCTCCCAGCCTTGGAGACTTGGCAGTGGGAAAGTTTCTTCCACTGTGAAGCCCCACACTGGCATCTGATGAGGGATAGATGTGGTCAGGAGTGGAGAGTGGGTTTTACTGAGAGAGCAGCTGATGCTCTCCTTCGCCACTGGGGAAAGCGACTGTAATGGGTCCTGATGCTCAAGGGGGACTGGGTACGTTTCTGGTAGTGCTAAATGCAACTGATGCTGTAGTAATTCAGCAGAACTGGGAGCCAACCACTTCACCTCTCAGTTTTTCCCATGTAGCTGAAGACATGTATGTTAGACCATGGTGAAGAACAATTTACAGCAGCCGTCTTCAGTAGCAGTTAAATTGTCCATGGCCAAACTTTCATTAAAACTTTATCACCCTCATTGTAGAGGACTTACTTAGGGCAGGGACCTGTTTGATGAGCTATATAAATATGATGCAACAGGGATATAACTGAGTTGTATCCAAATACAAATGTGGCTATAAGTGAGTTTTGTGTATACCGTCATTGTTTAAAAACTGCACTCAGGCCAGGCGCTCCTTGATTAAGAGCAGCCAGATGGACACTATAAATCAGTGAGAAAACTTTGTGCCAAACTCCATGCTCGGACTGATTCATACTGATTCATTCATTTAATGTCACAAATGAGATTTTTGCAAAGGGAGCCCAGATCAGAATTTGGCCTTTCATGTTTGTTTAGATTAAGAAATTTGGATAGCAAAAGGCCGCTTATGTTCTGGCTAGTAGGCTGGGTATTACAGCACTCGAATAGTAGGAAGCCCAGACAGATGGTTACATGAATCACAGCTAGCCAGGTCTGATTATCTTGATATTTTCCATGTGATAAAGCAGAGGAGTGTTGTGCCATATGGTGGAATATTGCTGAGGAACCCTCAGCAGCTGCATGGGATGTAAGCACTTCCACGGGCAAGTGGCATGCTGCAGCACTCACTCTTGGGATGAGTGGGAAAGGTGGACAAGCAGAAGCTCCCTGGCACCACCAGAGATCCTGATCCTCTGTGCGCTCTGATGGGAGAGTACAACAATACAGGGATCGCCTGCCTTACGAGGAAGGAGGAGTAAAGACTGAGACTGGAGGGTGGTTAGCAGTGGCACAAAGTCCAATTGGAGGCCAGTTACTAGCACTGCACCCCTGTGGTCAACACTGGGTCCAGTCTTTTTT